GACACTTCAAAGTAGAAAAGAAGGTTGAGAAGGTGGAATTCCTGCCTCTCCCGAAGGGACACCCAGCAGCCTTTGTTCCCCAGAGGAAACGCTGGAGCTTCAGAGGATCCCTCAGAGAAAATAAAGATGCAGGAGGCTTCGCTTTGTTAGGATAGCGAGATTTTCTTCAGTCACTCCCAAGATCACATTTGACAGGCTGCAGTTCTTCAAAGACACAAGGCCCCATCTCTAACTTCCAGATAAAGAACATGGCTGGAAAAGAATGTGCTTTCGAGGATACTGATTTTGAGCCAGGTATGGGGGTGCACCCATTACACCCAACACTCGGGAGACAGAGACAGGCAGAGCTGTGTGCATTCAAAGCCAGCCAGGGCTACTTAGGGAGGCCTTGTCTCAAAAATAATATATACATATATTTATATAATGTATTATATATATTAAATATATAATTAAAGTGTGTGTCTGCTTTTCAGTTTGGTTTTGGGTTTTCAAGACAGGGTTTCTCTGTGTAGCTATAGTTGTCCTGGAACTCACTCCGTAGACCAGGCTGGCCTCGAACTCACAGAGATCCACCAGCCTCTGTCTCCCGAGTGCTGATATTAAAGGTGCGCACCACCACTGTCCGGCACGCCTGCCTTTTTAAATGCATACCACTTGAGTACAATTTCCAAGAAGGACAGGAAAGAGTGACATAGCCCCTGGAATTGAAGTTACAGGCGCTGTGGGTCATCCTAGGAAGTGTACCTGGTCCTCTGGAAGAAGCGCTCTTAACTGCTGAACCATCTCTCTGGCCCCTTTTCACTGTTGGGTTTTTCTGTTGGCGGTGTTATTTTTTCCCTCGTGTATCTGTGTGTTCCTATGTGAGGGTGTGACAGCATGTGGAGGCCTCATGTTGATGCCTGGTGCCCTCCTTACTTTCCCATCTTACATACTGAGGCAGGGTCCCTGGCTGAATCCAGAGATCATTGGTTCACCAGTCAAGGGAGCCACTGTGCTCGGAGGATTCCCGTCACGTCACAACCTTCCCTGCGCTGTGATTCCAGGGGGAGCTACCATGTTCACCTTGGCAGGCCCAAAGGGGGTCTCCATTTCCCCCATAAACTCAGTCTGGCTCAGCTCAAGCTGGGCTATATAGGAGGATCTCTGGCGGTTAGATAAAAGCCAGCATTCCTCAGGAACTTGTTGCCTCTGGTGGAAGGGACATAGCTCTCTCTTGACCTCTGGCACCCATCAGTGTCTCAAAGCCCATGCTAGCCTCCAGGCTCCTTCAGGCTCACACATGTGATGAAACTCCAAGCCTCCCCTGGCCCTTCTCGCCCCCTCCTCCACCCTAAACTCCCAGGCTGCTCCAGCTCACAGGCTTCCCTTTGCCCAGCTAGTCATCCTTCTAACACTCATGATTTTTCTATGCCCCCCCCCAGCCCCGCCTTCCCTAGCCCGAGCTATGTCCAGTCTACTTCTTTTGCTCTCCACTCTGTACTCTTCTGGATGCCTTTCTCTCTCTCTTATACACACACACACACACACACACACACACACAAAAACTTCCCACCGACTATGAAGCGACCAGTTCGGTGGTTTTCTCTACTTCACCCCCACACACCGGGCTTACGTGGGTTCTGAGATGCTGTGGATGTTTTGGTTTATGATATGGAAACACGTTTTTGTCATAATCAAAAGTGGTGGGAGTTTAGTTTGTTCACACCTGTTAATGGTCTTCTGTGGAGCCTGGTCTTTGCCAGCTGTAATTAGTTGAATCCTGAGGACTTTGAGAGGTAGAAATATGATAGCCCAGAGGAAGAAGATGTGACTCGGTGGCTTGGAGGAGAAGGAGGACTGCTTGCTGATTTGCTGGCTTGCTGGACTTCGGGATTTCCTGATGACGGACATTGGTACTGCCCCCAAAAGAATCCTATGACCCTACCCAGCAGGAAGAAGTAAAGAGTGCTACGTCCCTTTTCCCTTCCAACCTTCTTTTTCCCCTCCCTGGGGTTGTGGGTAGGGTGGAAGGGAGGTATAAGCTTTAAGGAACCCCCAAATAAAGTAGCATTTAAAAACCTAGCACCAACACCGAGACTCTGGACTCCAGTCCTCACTATTCCACGTGGCAAGGGATGCACCTGCTGGACCTTCTCCCCTCCCCCAACATTTTTTTAGATAAAGTCTCATCCCGGTCTCTGACTCTTCATCCATCCCGTGTCAGGCCCTGCACCACCCACTTCACATTATTTATCCCACTTGGCCCTGAGAACACCCAGAATTAAAAGGACAGCGATGTCTGTCTGGCGACGGAAGAAAGGGGGACAGAACATTGAGCACAGTGCTGGGGCTGCTGCTGAGTGCAGGGCTCGCCTAACATGAAGCCCTGGCTTCGATCCCCAGCACCGCATAAACTGGGTGGGTGTGGCTTTCTTGTAACTCAGGAGGCGAAGGCAAAAGGAGGCGAAGGCAAGAGGATTCAAGGCAGGGCTCGGAAGATGTCTCAGCAGGCAAAGGTGCCTCCACCAAGCCTCAACACCTCATTTGGATCGTTGGGACCTGAGTCATGGAAAGAACCTGCTTCTACAAACTGCCCCGTGACCAGTGTCCTGTCACACACACAAGCAAGCGTGCACATACTTGCTTTGTTTTGTTTTTCGAGACAGGGTTTCTCTGTGTAGCCTTGGCTGTCCTTGATTTGCTCTGTAGACCAGGCTGGCCTGGAACTCAAAGAGATCCGCCTGCCTCTGCCTCTGCCTCTGCCTCCCTAAGTGCCAGGATTCTAGGCGTGTGCCACCACGCCCAGCTACACATACATATTTTTAAATAAATAATATAATTTAAAATGTTTTCTGTTCGCTATCATCTACGACTACAGAGTAAGACGAAGGCCAGCCTGGACTACATGAGATTCTGTCCCCAAAACAACAAAACTGGAACTGGAGAGATGGCTCAGCACTTGGGAGGGCATACTGAGTGTGGGTCTCAGCCTCCCCCCCCCCCCCCGGCATTAGAAGGCTCACAACTACCAAGAACTCTAGCTCCTAGAGAAATCTGACACCTCTGGCCTCTGCAGGTGCCTACACACACACACACACACACACACACTTAAACAAACAAAAAAATCTTGAAAAATAAATAGGCCGACCATGGTGGCACACACTTTTATTCTCAGTATCCGAGAGAGGTAGAAGAAGCAGGCAGATCTACATGCATTCATGGCCTCATCTACATACAAAGTTCTAGGCCAGCCAGGGTTATAAAATAAGACCCTTTCTCTAAGTAAAGAAGCCTCCTACTGAAGTACCTCCAGTCAGAAGTCAAGTCCCTGGCTCCTAAAGCTACAGGACGGCAGCTCTCAAGGCTTGGAGCCTTAGCCTCTGGGTCTGCCAGTCCAGCTCTCACGCCATGGCCACTCAGGGCCCCAGGACTACCAGCTGTGGAACAGCTTTGCCTTGCCTGCCCACGGTTCCTATGTGGTTGAACAAGGAGGCCTGAGCCAGCTGTTGGTAAGAGCTTGAATCGGAAAACCAGAGAATGTATGAAGAGATGAGCTGGGAAGGAGTGCCAGAGTCTGAGTCTTTGCTGGGCTCTTTGGATTTAGCAAACGAAACTCAGAGCATGCTAAGTCCACTTTAATTCAAGATAAATGGTGAACGTGTTTATACGTTAAGAAAAATCACCTGAAATCCAAATGTGAGTGGCTGGCTTGTATTTATTTGGCAACCCTTCTTGTAGGTCCAGGTAAGGATTTGACTGCTCCTCTGAAAGCATAGGGATATTAAAGGATCACAAGCAGGAGTTCAGAATCTGGCTAGATGAGGTCAGGCCTGTTCAGGGTAGCAGTAGGTACATAATCTGATTAGAATTCTGCATAGATCCTACTGTCTATAGATTGCCTAAGACTGCACAAAGACGTGAAGAACCCCGAAAGCAGTTGCTGGGGTTCAAGTTAAAAAAAAAAAAAAAAAAAAAAAAGAGGCTTGGGGCCAGCAAAATGACTTGACAGGTGAAGGAGCTTGCCACCAAGACTAACAACCTGAGTTCAGTCCTGGAACCCACAATGTGGGCGGAGAGAACTGACTCCTCACAAGTTATCCTCTGGCCTCTGTCCAGATATACACATCATGACACAAATGTGTATACGCCCATACACATACACACACAAAATAAATAGACAAACATAAAACAAGAGGAGCAAAATCTGACTTACACTACAACATGGATTGAAAGATGTAATATGGTAAAAATAAATAAATAAATAGATAGATAAATAAATAAATAAATAAGCCAATCACAAAAGCACTCTTAACATTATTAACAGGAGAGATTTGGGGCTGGAGAGATGGTTCAGAGGTAAAGGGCGCTGGCTGCTCTTACAAAGGACTCGGGGGTCAGTTCTCAGATCCCAGGTGGCAGCCATAGCTGTCCTGGAATTCTATGTAGACCAAGCTGACCTTGAATTTACAGAGATCCTCCTGCCTCAGCCTCCGGAGTGCTGGGCTCAAAGGCACGTGCCGCCACGTCAGACTAGATTTTCATTTTCCCTTCCTTCCTTCCTTTTTTATTTTATTTTATTTTTTTCAAGACAGGGTTTCTCTGTGTAGCCTTGGCTGTCCTGGACTCACAGAGATCGGCCTGCCTCTTGGTCCCTGAGTGCTGGGATTACAGGCATGCGCCACCCCGCCCGGCTAATACCAGGACATTGTGTAAACTAATCCTTTAGTTTCCATTAGTTGACTGGCAACAACTAGAGAACGCAAGAAGCAGTCGCAAACACCTCCGCTTCCTGTAGCGGATCCGGGACTCTGGGAGGCGAGGCCTTGAGGGGGGGGGGGGGGGGCGTTGTCACGTGGTCTAGGCACCACCCACTGGGCGGTGTTCGGCCGCTCCCCTTCTGCCCACCAGGGGTCGCAGTTCTGATCGAGCTGATTCTTCCTCCTTTGGCGAGGACCCACCCTCTTTGTGTCTTTTGCTCTCGCGAGAGAAAGCGCAAAGTCTGCTGGGAGGCGTGCACGGGCCCTAGGCCAGCCCAAAATGGCAGCCCTGGAGGAGGAATTCACGCTGTCTACTGCAGTCTTGGGCGCCGGGCCTGAAGGGTTCCTAGGTGTCGAGCAGAGTGACAAAGCAGACCAGTTCCTAGTGACGGACAGCGGCAGGACCGTCGTGCTCTACAAGGTGAGGTCTGCGGGAGCGGCCGGCTGCCGTCCCGCCTCCGTCCGGAGCCCGGAGCCTCCGGGAGGCTGGAGTCTCAGCTTGGGAAGGGAAGCCGGGAGCGGGTGTGACAGAGCCCCGAGGTCACCGCGCTGGGACGCCGGCTGAGATTCGGAAGGTGTTTTCCTGTGAGGACCAGCATATTCCCGAGTGGCAGGCGGCCCTGTCTCGGTGCACGTGAGACGCGCGGGGCAGCGGTGCCTCCCCTCCTAATCTCCCAGAAATGCTAAGGGATGTCAGCCCCCCTGTGCTGGTGCGCCAGAGGGTCGAGCAAAGATTGAGCTTCAAAGGATGACGCTGACAGGTTGAAGACGTGGTTACCCACTTCATCCTCCGCTACTTTTTTTAGCGGGGGGTGGCGAAGGGGGAGATGTGAGGAGGCAGAGATTTCTTGGTATCCTGGAAAGACCGGGCAATTCTGTATCACGGTGTGAAACCCAAATTTGAGGGCTGGCAGGTCGCAATCTCGTCCGATTTGCAGCCTAATTCCCGGCTCAGCACAGTAATCATCTAGAGAGTAGGTTTTTAAATCTGGACTTCAGAACAGTTTTTTTGTTGTTGTTGTTGGTGGTGGTTTGGTTTGGTTTTTGGGTTTTTTGAGAAGGGTTTTCTGACTAAGTCAGGGTAGCCCTGACTGTTGTGGCTCTGTAGACCGAACCCAACTGATGGGATGGAAGGGTGTGCCACCACCGCCTAGCACTGAACAGTTTCTTGTATCATTCAAAAGTTACCCATCTGTTTTAACATTTTGGGGAGAGGCTGCCAACAGTCCCCTATGTTGATGGTTGATGGTTTAGACTTCCCTTCAGACTTCGTCTTTGGGACGATTTGGCAGTTTCTGCATAGGAGTACGGTAGTTGATGGGAATTAGGTGGACTTCATCCCACTTAGACCATCCTAATTTTCCTGACCTCCGTTTCACAGGTAGTCGATTCATTTTTAAATGTGTCATTGTTTATAAACAGTCTCTTGAATTAATTTGCTTACTGTTAAGAGTTTTGAAGATTTTTTTTTTTTTTGAGACAGTCCTGGCTTTAAATTTACAATCGTTCTCTCTCAGTCTCCCCAGTGCCAAGGCTACAAGTGTGAACCACCACACCTGGTTAGAATTCTTAGTTGTTTTTTAAAGATGTGTTTACACTGTTGTACACAGTCCATCTCCAAATCTCTTCATCTTACAAAATCCGTATAAGTTAAATAATAGTTCTGAGGGCTGGTGAGCTGGTTCACTTGGTTAAAGGCACTTGCCACCAAGTCTGCTCACATGAATTCAATTCCCCTGGTCTACATGGTAGAGGGAAAAGGATTGACTCCTGAGAACTGTTCTCTAGCCTCTGTGCTCATAACTGTGTGTGCACACACAAATAAATACATATCTGTCATTAAAAATAAACAACTCTCCACTCTGAAACTTGAGACAAGAGAATCTGGAGTTTGAGGCCAGCCTAAACTACACAGAAAGACCATGTCCAACAAAGAAAAAAATAATGACTATTTTTCCTAGCCCCTAGTAACCATCGTTCTCTATCAGTCTTCATTATTTTAAGTGCTTCATAAAGTTGAAATCATGTCAAGTATTGTCATGGTTTTTTGCTTGTTAGTTCCAGTTTCTCAAATGGCAGAAGCTGGTTTCTTAAATTGTGTCTTCTTTTACCAGGTTTCTGACCAGAAACCCTTGGGCAGCTGGTCGGTGAAACAAGGTCAAAGTATAACATGTCCAGCTGTATGCAACTTTCAGACTGGAGAGTATATTATGGTACATGACCATAAGGTAAGTTTGAAAGCATTCATATGTATATAAGATATTTTGCATGTGTTGATTGTTCATTACATGTAAATAGGCAATACAGTACTATTTAACATGTGTACTTTGATTTAAGGTCTTGAGAATATGGAATAATGAAGACGTAAACCTGGATAAAGTATTTAAAGCTACAGTAAGTCTTTGGATTTTCTGACATATTTAATTATTGATGAAACAATTCATAATCTCACATTTGTTATATGTCATATCATCTCTGGGCAAAAGAGCTCATGGTTGAAGTCAGTTTTCCCTTCTAGCTGTTTTCTTATAGATCATGATAACTATCTCAACTCATGTGTTAATAGGTTAGAAGATGCAGACTTTATTATCCCCTCAAGTCTGATGATTTAAATAGTTCCTAAATGGGGCTAGAGAGATGGCTCTGCAGTTAAGAGCACTTGTTGCTCTTGCAGAGGACTAGAATTCAGTTTCTAGCATTCACATGGCGGCTCACAACACCTGTAACTCCAGCTCCAGCGAATCTCCATACCTTTTTGGGCCTCTGTGGTCTCCTTGTGCCATGTACACACACACACATACAAATTTTTTAAAAATATAAAAATGGTGATTGGAGTTTAGATATTTTGCATATTTCTTGTAAGAATAAGTTTATTGTCTATGACTTTGTTTAAAACAGAATGGACCCTACAAGTTTCTATATTGTACATTTTAAGAGCTGTATATAATAACATAAAAGAAAACAATAACTAGATAATTCTACTAGTTACCTAAAGCGTGTTACTTAATTTTTATTAGAAATAAAATGATCTCAAATAAGGTTAATCTCAAATGTTCCCGTTCTAGCCATGCATGATGATGCATGCTTTCTTTTTTTTTTTTTTTTTTTTTTTTTAATGTGCATTGGTATTTTGCCTGTATGTTTATCTGTGTGAGAGTGTCAGATACCCTAGAACTGGAATTACAGACACTGGTGAACTGCCATATGGGTGTTGGGAATTGAATGTGAGTCCTCTGGAAGAGCAGCTAGTGCTTTTAACCTCTGAACCATCTCTCCAGCCCCTGATGCACACTTTTAATACCAGTAAACCAAAAGTGGAAGTAGGTAGATCACTGTGAGTTTGAGGTTTCAGGAAGTTTCAGGCCAGTAGGGCTACAATGTGAGACCCTGTCTCAGCAAACAAATTTCTAGTTCTAAATGCCCAACTCTATAATTGATAAGATTTGGGGCTGGAGAGCTGCCTCAGTGGTTAAGAGCACTGACTGCTCCTCCAGGACCCAAGTTCAATTCCCAGCACCCACATGGAACCGCACGCCTGCCTGTAACTCTAGTTCCAGGGCTTCTGACACCCTCACACAGATATACATGCAAGCAAAACACCAATGAACAAAAAACAAAAACAAATTATGTATAATTGATACATTTTAGAACCCCATATCAGGCTAGTTCAAATCTGTTATAGTTGTTGCATAGACTCATGAAACTTCTGTTCCAACTTTGCTGTCTCCTAACAACCCAGAGAGGTTAGATATCGAGCTCACCGTTTGTTAGCAGCAAGAGCCTTGCCTGTCGTTTCACCAGCTCCTTTGTGGGTTTTTGGTTGGTTGGTTGGTTGGTTGGTTTTTTTTTTTAATTGTTGTTTTAGCCCTACATGTGGGGCCGGGAATT